GCAATCAATTATTCTGTGTATATACTCGCAGTATTGCCGCATGGCTGTTTCTTGTGTCCCTGTATCGGTGCTTCATAGCTGCATGATAGATGGGAGAGGTCTAATGGTAGCTGCATGGCGCTGAAAGAAGAGAGGAAGTTCTAGGTAAGAATATACCGTTATGTATAGCTCCTTTAGGAGGGGTGCAGCTTTAAGGATGAACAGTGTCCAGGTCAGATCATACCCTTCAGGAATTTCATCTAGATTCACAAACCTTAGTTGGCGAAAAACAGATGCCAGGCTTTTCGTCAAGCACTCTGGTTGGACCCAGATCTGCAACGAATAAACGAGTCATGAGAAGAGCAGAAAAATAATAAACAAGTCATGAGAAGAGCAGAAAAATAATAAAGCCACAGCTAGCAAAACAACCAAGTTGACTTACCTTTTCACATTTAAATCCCAACTTCAGGTCACGCACAGAGGTACCACAAAGAAACTTACTTAACTCAACCATCTTGTGCCAACTGAGAGCAACATTATTGAGTTTGACGGCCTCAAGCAATGGGGCATCGCCAACTGAAAGTGGATAATGGAAAGAGATCCAACCCTCAAAGGCCAACCGTGTGAGTTTTGGAACAGAGTTCAGCAGCAGTTCTGCAAAAACGCAATCACCGATGGCGAGGTCACTGAGTTGGGAGTGATCTACTTGCAGCGTCGTCGTTTCCCTAGAATCACAATTCATCAAACGTAGATCCTTTAATCGCTTACAAACGATGAGTACATTAGTGATGTCCGATTCACCGAATCCAAATTTTCAAGGTGCAGGCGTGTGAGACCACCAAATGCATCTGGGAAAGCATCAAAGAATAAGATGAACTTTTTCCCATAACTGGCTAGATTATCATCGTCACACTGAGTGGCATCCCTCTCTGTCATAATGTTGAATTCAGCCATCTCAACCTTGTGTGTCGCCATGGTCTTGGCAACAGCATGTCCAATGGATATGTGGTCACTGTCTTTTAGGAAGAAAGTCATCGACAGTAGGTGGATGGTTTTTCGGGTAGAATCCCTCTGTGCCAGGATGCTAGTGGTTGCTTCAACCACAGCTGCATTGCTCCGAACCACTTCATCAATTTCAAATATGGGCCCATTGTGAGGCAGGAAGTCCAAAACACTTATTGTCAGTCGAGAAAGCTTGGTAGAAAGCCGACTCCACCGTCTGGAGAGGATGCTGGTTCTGACAGCGTATGTGACATCGAGTCTATCAAGAATATTAACCAAAATGTCGTCAGGCAAGTTGCTGAGCATATCGTCTCGATTTCCTTTCTGCATTTGTGGCAAGGAAACAAATCATAATTGATATAGTCGGAAAGATGCAGTTTTTATACATTACATGGATGCAGTTCTCCATACTACAGTCGCTAAGGGTGCATGCAATTTGGATTTAGTCTCAAAGCTGTGCAATTTGACATCTTCCCACTAGAAGAGATGCAACTTTGATAGTCTAAAAAATATAATTTTGATTGAGGCTAAAAGATGTCAATTTTTGGCATCTTTGATGAAAACAAAAAACCTGCAATTTTGACCGAGTGCGTTCTTTTTCATCAGAAGAGTAAAAGGACAAGGAACTCACCCCCATGGCTCCGGGTAGATCTGCCAAGATGCGATAAGAATTGGCGGCCGCCGGTCGCCGGAGAAGGTAGGCGACCGTCAACCTGGCTGGGGAATCGCTGGTCTCGTCTGAGACATGTTGGCTTCCGGTCGGGCCGACTGGCCAATTTATATTGGCTTCGTTTGCGCCTCCGACTGCACCTCGCAGACTGAACACGAGACGGACTCGATCCCCTTCCGTGATCTACACAGGAAGGGGGTCGAAATCGGATTAGAGCTCGGTGGGGAGCCGCGTCGATGTCGAATTGCAGCTCGGATAGGAGCTGCTTGATTGCTGATTGCAGCTCGAAAAGGAGCCGCTTCGGTTCCGAATTGCAGCTCGAAAAAGAGCTGCTTATTTGTGTGCCTCTTCTGGAACACCACGCTGTCCTCATAGGGAGGCTTAGATGGCGATGGCGCGAAGAGGGAGATGGGCTGCCTTGACACTCGACCGGCGGGGCGGCAGCCGGCGCATCTCCGGTCCCTCTCTCCCTCTCTAACCCGTAGCCTGTTTGTTTGGGGGGAGTTGGAGCTAGGAAATGAGAATTTAAGGTGGCTGGGACTAAAAATCTTTTGATTGGTTCATGGACTTGGGAATTAACAAGGGAAGGGGAAAGGGAATTAGGAGGCCTAACTCCCATCGATCTTTTTCTTGGGGGACCCTGGTAATTCCATGAAAGAAAATTGTTACAAATTTATTGACCCACCTCTCGCAAAAAAAGAAAAAAACTCCACGGAAATCTTACTTGCAGCGACATCATTTTCCTCCAAATAAATCGGCGAGCTCTACCTGCTTACTAATCTGCAGATGCAATGCCAAGCACGAGCACATCTCATGTAAGAGGGGCACCCAGCAGCGTGTAGCCCATCTGATTTTGCTACGTAACAAAGTTTGATTCGTTTATCTTTCCTTTACAGACCAATGCAGATCTATTTTCCCTTTCTACTCTTTTTTTTTGCCTTCACATGTTACGATTTTGTTTCAACATTTGTGTGTCCCATTCTTTCTCCATTGTTCATTAGAATTATTCCCACATATAATTCCCACCCCACACCAAACATGGGATTAGGACTAATAGTCCACTTGCCAAGCCTAATCCCTCAGGCAACTCCCTCTCATAAATTCCCAACCCCTTTTTCTTAAACAACCAAACGCGCTGTAGGTGGCGGCGTGGTTGGTTGGAGCTGGCCGAACGCCTGCCCAGGATGGGAATGATACTATTATAGGGCCTGCGCTGGACGAATGTTGGCATGGGCCAAGGCCCAACGTGCGGTTTGGGAAAATATTCAGTGCTCCCACCATGCTCCAAACTCACAAAAATCAAATTTTCAAGTTCGCAAAAAAGCTATGAATGTTCACAACATGCGTCTACCTAGCATGGTCCTGCTACCCCTAAAAATAACTAGCAAGGTCCTGCCTTTCCTTAGCAATGCCATGTGTGGACAAGTAGAAATGCATAAATACTAGTACAAGAAAAAAGAGAAGGACTATTGACTATCAGGGCCTGTGCGGAACACGGTGCTTCTGATGAACAGTGCTCATATTGATCGGCCGGAATCCGTTGTCGCCGCCATTGGTCTTGCATGCGGAGATCGCCCCGAAGAGGATGAGGACGGTGAAGAGAGTGGGAAGAATGGGAAAGACTAGTGAATGGTGGAGGTTGTGGACACGTGCGAGCTGTCGTTCACCCGGTTCATCGCCCCCACGAACGTATACATGATGTCGACATGGAAGTTCGCTTGCGCCAAGATTCTTGCATTTTAATCCGATGGCCAGAAGGGCATTCACTAGAAAAATGTCCCTGAGGAACGTCAGCCAGATAACATTTTCCTAAAAAATTTAGCGTTTGTATAGTTGTTGGTCACTTTCTCGCAAATTTCTATTGCTTCTTAATGAATATGTAGAGCTCTCGTCGGTTAAAAAGCACAAATGTAAGATCTTTGCGTTTGTA